GATACCTGGTTGCAATTAGGAGATATACAATCACAGTTATGAGAAATTGTGTCAATTGTGAGATATAAGGTTTCAGTTATTTTTATATTTACAATACTCTGAAGCAGAAATAGATTTCCATATACTGTATACATGTATTAAATGTACTACATACAACAGAATTTAAATCACTTAGAGCTGTTTTAATAAGTATATTATAGTTCAGTAATGAACTGCAGAAACACAAAAGAGGTCAGGAAAAAGCGACATTGTAATAATGCCTTACCGGTTATTTAACAGTTTTACTACAAAAAAGCACACTATCATTTATTTAATGAATCTCTTAAGTCTATCATTTGAATAGTTTAACATTAATTGTCCCACAAGAGCCACTCAGTGCCTGCGGTGTGCCTAGCCTCACTGTCCCACCTTTCCTATTTTGTTGCGCAAATTAGAAACCTAACTTGCTTTATTGACTGTTGTAATCTCTCTGGACTGCTCAGTGTTTACGGACTAATAGCATGAGGGGAAGGTCATGCATTAGTGATGAAATCGGAATGCTTGGTGGTTGAGAGTCTTCGGCGATGCTTGCTTTTCAGTCTTAACAGAACAGACTTTGTACTGATAAAACAAAAGCCTGATAGAAATAACAGACTATAGGGACATGCTGCATCTTTTATGAGCAAATGTTTGTGTCATATTAGCTTAATCTCCTTTTTAAATGGATTTTGGGGAGGTTATTTGCGAGCTTTTGCCTGGCGTGACTCTTGTTGTTTGGCTGGTCCAAAGTTAGTCGGACGAATGTGAAGGCATTTGCTACTGAAAATATAGGGCTGTTAATGTGCTCCATCAAAATGCAAGCAAAACAAAACCTTTAATAAAACTTTCAGAGACCCGTAGCCAATTTGACTGCCAGGTAACAGATGCAGCCCAACTAATTCATTCAAAACGCCTGGATTTCACCACTACACAGCGACCTTCCTTTGTGAGCCAAAGTCACGCATAATGTTTTCCATTATTTGAGGTCCTTCATTCCCAACACTCCTACCATATGGTGACCTTCAGATGAGAGAAAAAAGCGCCAGCATGTGCGTAGCAGTAATGCTTAGGTGGGAAGCACAGCGAAAACAAGTGAGAACAAACACACACGTGCACTCTGAGTGACAGGAGCACAGTCAGCATCCGACAGTCGTCATTTCTAAACACGCTAATTAATTCAAGCATAAAACCTTTAATGAGGGAGACGGCGCAGGTGTGTCACTTACACCTCTGGCTGATTACAGATAAAACACTTGGAATACAACCTGATTAACACTTTAAGGGTAACAGAAACACTCTCAAATCAAAATGGCAGCAGCGTACTTTTATAAGCAGACCATAAACCACTGGCAATTCTCCAGCATATTTATACAGACGTTGAGGAGCTGAGAGAGCACTTGTACAGTGACTGCAATTAAGCATATATACAGTGAATATACAGTATATGCACTACCGTTCCAAAGTTTGGGGTAAGATTTATTTAGCAAAGATGCATTCAAATTGATAAAAAGTTCCAGATTAGGCTTTTATAATGTTCCAAAATATATATATATTTGACCCTGGACTACAAAAACCAGTCATAAGAATTCATTTCTCATTCATACATAATAAATATAGCTGAATAAATAAGCTTTCCATTGATGTATTGTGTATTAGGATAGGACAATATTTGGCCGAGATACAGCTATTTGAAAATCTGAAATCTGAGGGTACAAAACAATTTAAATACTCGCCTTTAAAGTTGTCCAAATGAAGTTCTTAGCAATGCATATTACCAATCAAAAATTAAGCTTTGATATATTTATGGTAGGAAATTTACAAAATATCTTCATGGAACATGATCTTTACTTAATATCCTAATGATTCTTGGCATAAAAGAAAAATCGATAATTTTGACCCATACAATATTTTTTTGGCTATTGCTACAAATATACCCCAGCGACTTGAGACTGGTTTTTGTGGTCCAGGGTCACATATTTCAAATAAATGCTGTTCTTTTGAAATTTGTTCATGCTAATTTTAGTTAAAGTTTTAGTAATTTGGTTGTGTTTTATGTCATTTGTATTGTTTTTAAACATGTCTTTATAGTTTTTATTAATTTTTATATTAGTTTTAGTTATTTCAGTAAGTTAAGCTAAAAAAAATGAGAAATGTTGCCTTGGAAATGAGTGAAAATAAAATAAGAATTTCATTTTATTTCAGTTAACATTTATTTTGTTTTAACTAACAATGTTTTTTTTGTGGTTTTAAGTTTTAGTAAATAAATTAATATATTAAAATAGAGAACAGTTATCTTAAATCGTAATACTATTTTACAATATTACTGTTTTTACTTTTCTTTCTTTTTTTTAATCAAATATATGCAGCATTGGTGAGCATAGAAGACTTCTTTAAAAATGAAATAATCTTACCAACCACAAACTTTTGAATAGTAGTGTACTATATGAACCATTTAACTTTATTGACATGTCACACAGACTTTAGTATGTTACATGTTTTGATGACAGACAGAGTGCATGATTGCCATTTAAAAAACGACCATGAGATGCAGATGGCTGTTAAGTGATTCATAATCTACATAAAGTTTCAACTATAAATATTTAATATCAAACTGGGTGACAATATTCAATGTGTATGCTCGTACTCATTCTATTACGCAGTATTCAACAACTTTGGAGTGTTTAGAATGGTGGGTAAGTTTTGTATCCAACTATAAATAGGCACAAGATTCTCTTGGAAAAAAAAACATGTGGTAGACCATTAGGATTGTAATGACTAATTCAGCTCACTTCTGAACAACCACTTTCATTACATGGAGGTTTGATAAGTTCTAAACAGATCAATGCAATTGGAGCACCATTGTCTGGTCATGTCTTCAACCTCTGCTGGCATGAAAAAAAGAGGAATGTGAATGAGGGAAAACAGCAGCGCTATTTTTGTACCCAACTATGAAAGGACACACAATTCTCTAAGTCAAAAAGATGCTTGGTGGATCTTAAAGCACATCACTATTAAAATGATCCAAATAGAACCAAAAAGAGTTGAACTGAACTAAAATTACTTCTTGTAAGATTACTTTGCAATAAGGTTCAATCTGTTAACATTAGCCAATGCATTAGCTATCATGAACTAACATTTTTACAGCCATTTAGTGTTGCGTTATAAACATACATTACAACTGTTCATAGTTATTTCATGTTTGTTCATAATACATTAATGTTAATGAATGTAGCTTGAAATGTTACAAATGCGTTAAAATATGTAGAAATGAACATTAACCTACAATGCGGTCACTGTTCATGTTACCTAATAGATTAATGTTATGATGTAACAGTAGCAGTGCTAGATCCTTTCTTCTATATTGTGATTTACATACAACTATGAATGTATAACCAACCGTTGCTTCACTGGAAGATTAATTTATGATATTTTAATAAAAAATGATACGGTCAAAAAACAAACAAACCTTGAATGAATCGTTCACAATAAGATCAACTGTAAGCATTGAGCAAATAGGGTAACATTTCATTTCATGCCAACTTAAATGCAAATATACTGAACCTTTGTAACCATTCCACTCATCTCAGAACAACCAGTTTCAAAATATGAAGATTTAAGATGATATTGGAACATCATTGTCTAGTAGTGTCTTTTTCAACCTCATCTAGAATAAAAACAGATGTGAGAATGAAGAGGGAAATGCATGTTACCAAGCCTAAAACAATCACAAATGTTCAATAATACTGAATTATATTATTCTAAATTGAAGGATAATGGCTTAATGCAACCTATGGCAAAGAGTTGTAGGTGTGCACAAAAAAAAGTCGTTACATCCATGTTTGACTCACCAGTGTACCTCAGTCTAAACATTTATGTACACTCTAAAAAAAAACGATGGTTCTTTTAAGGTTCTTTACATGTAGGTAATGGTTCTATTTAGAACCATAGCATCCTAAAGAACCCTTTTATGCTGAAATAGTTATTTGTTATAGAGTTTTTTGTTTTTCAAATCTGAAACTGTCAAAGTCGCCTCATTGTTGATTTTCTGGAGTTCAACATTTCATCTAAACAGACTGTCTAGTCTACACCAGGGGTGTCAAACTCAATTCCTGGAGGGCCGGAGCCCTGCAGAGTTTTGTTCCAATCCTGCTCCAACACACTTACCATGTAGTTTTGGAATAAGCCTGAAGGACTTGATTAGTTGGAACAAGTGGGTTTAATTAGGGTTGAATCTAAACTCTGCAGGGCTCCGGCCCTCCAGGAATTGAGTTTGACAACCGTGGTCTACTCTCAACAAGTAAATGATTTAATTCTTAAATTTGAATACAAATTTAACTTTAAAATTGTAACTAGTTCATATTCTAGTAACATGTTCTTTTCTTTTTCTTTTTTAGTTTTTTGGTCACATGTAAGTGTGAGCAACTCTGTTAAAGGGATAGTTCACCAAAAAATGAAAATGTGATGTTTATCTGCTTACCCCCAGGGCATCCAAGATGTAGGTGACTTTGTTTCTTCAGTAGAACACATATGATGATTTTTAACTTTAATATCAATATTTTAATTGGGTATCAACACACCCATTAACGTAAACTACGCCAGAGTGCGTCCACACCTCACGCACCGGATGCCGTGCGCACGCCCAAAGACAGTTGGGCATAGTGGTGTATTAGAGGTAAAAAAATTATATAAATACTGTTCGGTTTCTGGCACAAACCGATCGTTTCGTGTCTTAGGACATCAATGTGTCGTCACGAGCCGCAGGGTTTAATTTTGATTTGTCTGTGCATGTTTTTTTTACTCTCATAGATTTTGTTACCATTACAATTTCACATCAATAAAAAAGTACCTAATTCACATAACATGCTGTTGTTGTAAAAAACTTTTATTTAAAATAAATATATAAAAAATAATATAAATATATAACATAATAATATAATAATACTGATATTATGTAAAATATACTAATATTAATTAGCCGAAGAACCATTTTTCTTAAGAGTGTACGAACTCTCCACGTCCCTCTATGTTAAACACTCTATCAAAATTGCAGTATGTCTGACTTCTTTACTGAGAGGCAACAGTGCTTTGTGGGTTGATTTTTGTGGGTCTTTTTTTCCCCTCATGCACAATGGAACTGCAACAGACAAGACTCTTGTCTTTCTGTCTCTGTCACTCTTAATTGCCTTCTTTCGGAGAGTGTCCTGTTTTGCTGAGAACAGTATTTAGTTCATTAATGAGGTTTTGTGGCAACTGCACACTTCTGCTGGGCATCACAGCTTTCTTTTGTGATAGCTGGGTGAGAGTGCTGGGGTCTTGTTGAATTGATAGTCTACGGGAAGACTGGAGTGTCTCATCAATCACCATTTCAAGCCCGGAGACACACAGAGTTCCTTCACCGCTAGCCAATTTATGCATCGAGTCCTGTTGGATGAACTCATCTGTGGTCATTTGGTTTTGTCTATTTGAACCTGTACTGACGACTGACTTCCCTTTAGCCTGCAGAATGGGGGGAAAGTACATGGACATTCATGGCTATAGGCCTCAAAGGCTGTTTTGTATGCAGTGAATAAACTTGATGCCCAATTCCAACAACCATTTTTTTCTGGACAAGTTGACATGGATATGGTTCAACTGACAACAAAGATGGAGATCAGGGCTGATCTACTGCACACTGTGCTGGTCTTTAGAGGTATTCAATGAAGCAAAACATTCATTAAACAACATTAAATGAAAAAGCTTTTTGAGTATCTGTGACATTTATGTGAGTGTAGTGCAGGTTTAGTGCTGACCTCTCTCTGGTGTTTGGCTGTGCTGGTCTTTGCAGTGCTGTAAGTGGATGTTCTTCCTCTGCTCAGGTTATAAGGTAACGAAGCGCTCTGCTTTAGGTCCCTAGGCCATAAGTCACCGTCATGCTGCAAACACATTTACGTTTAAGCTTTTGCAAGATGCTTTTATCTTAATCAACTTACATCGCATTGAAGGTTTATTTTTTCAGTCTATGCAGGAATCATTCCCATGATCTTGTTGATGCTAGAGCCATGCTTTACTGTTTGAGCTATAAGGAACAGAGAGGGCAATTTCTAGCCAATCAAATATTTTACAGGTGAACATTACTAAAGAAAACCTTAAGGAAACGCCAATGTCTGCAAGACAGCAAAAGTACAGAAACTTGTCATACTGTCTACACTACTGTACAAAAGTTTGGGTTGCTTTTTTTTAAAGAAATTAATACTTTTATTAAGATCGGTACATTAATAATCATTGATCAAAAGTGACACTAAATATTTCCATTTCAAATAAATGTAATTTCAAATTTCTATCCTTCAAAGAATCCTGACAAAAAGTATAATGGTTTCCAAAGAAATATTTAGCAGCACAATTGTTTTCAACACAGACAAAAATATGAAATGTTTATTGTGCACCAAATCAACATATTAGAATAATTTCTGAAGGATCGAGTGACACTGAAGACTGGAGTAATAGCTGCTAAAAAAATCAGCTTTGCCATCAGGAATAAATTACATTTTAAATTATATAAAATCATCACTTCCTTTTGAATGCTAAGCATTCTAGATTTTCGAACTCATAAAAGTTACCAACCTGACAGAACTGGAGAGGATCTGCAAGGGGGAATGGCAGAGGATCCCCAAATCCAGGTGTGAATAACTTGTTGCATCTTTCCCAAAAAGACTCCTGGCTGTATTAGATCAAAAGGGTGTTTCTACTAAATACTGAGCAAAGGGTCTGAATACTTAGGACCATGTGATATTTCAGATTTTCTTTTTTAATAAATCTGCATAAATGTCAACAATTCTGTGTTTTTCTGTCAATATGGGGTGCTGTGTGTACATTAATGAGGAAAAAAAATTAACTTAAATGATTTTAGCAAATGGCTGCAATATAACAAAGAGTGAAAAATTTAAGGGGGTCTGAATACTTTCCGTACCCACTGTATGTAATAATGAGACACAAAAATATGTACACTGAATTATGGTACATGCCCTCCACTCCTCGTTTACTCTGCCGCATGAAAATCCCTGCAGCACTTCTCTACGCCCAACTTCCCAGAATAGGAAAAAAATAAAGAACCGAAGTGCTTTATTTTTCTTCCTCGTATCAGTTCAAAGCCACAAAAGCAAGAATAAACCTCGACATTGAAAATAGTGAACCTGTGAGAAGTAGATAAGGATGAGGCATTAAGACCGTAGAGAGGGGAAGGAAAAATCTGAGAGGGTTAGAGGATTGGAGGAGGGATCTAAACAATGGCTCAATCATCTACTACAGTACTTCTATGCCATCTTTTGCCTTTGGTTTAAGTTATTAGCAGTGAATCAGCTGAGTCAGGCCCTCTGTGTGTAGTAGCGCCCGGCTTGTCTAAAGAAGAGTCTGCTGGAACCAGTGTTATTGAGGCAGTCTGCATGACCTTATTTCAGTTAAAAGACCTTTCCGGATAATGTGATTATACTCATGAAGGATGACCTTAAAAACATTCCCTCAAATCTTAGGGCTAGTTTTCATCTAACTTTCTCTGGGAAAAAGGAAATGCAGCATTAAAATAAAGGACTATAGGGGTATCATGGCCCTTATGAAAGAGAAGTACACTTGTGAATACTAATAATAGCAATGACGGAAATAATATAACACTGAGAGACAGAGAGTGTGAAGAGAATGTGATGTTTTTGGATATTTAACAGCATGTTAA